ATGCCCTGGGCATTAATGAGGGAGTGTGCAGTAAATTTGTGGTGGTGGGTGTGAGTACAGCATGTTACCAAGCAGATTTGCCTTGCCAAGTTGGGATCTGGTGTGAGAGGTAGTACCTGCACTCTGAAAGGCACAGTGGATCTTGCCATCACAGTTGGTTATGATGGAAGTCACAGTCCACCCATCAACAGCTAATCTGCAACCCATTTCAAAGGCAGCTGTGTACTCCATAATGGTTGAGGCACCAGTGTAATCCTGCCCATGGATGATGGTCTCAATGTCAAGAAGCTGTGTGCAAATATCATAGAATAAGATTGAGTTGTTGGGAGCTTTGGTGGGTGGCAGATGTTGTTTTGACCAGGAATGGTGGGTTACCTTGCTGGTCATCAGATCCTTCATGATGAGCACACAGCTTGGTCATCAGCACTGCCCATACCAAGTGCTGTGGTGATGTTAGGTCATTGGAGGAGGCTGGTAAAGGTGTTTTTGTGGGTGAGCGTGGTGATGTGCATGTTCAGAGTTGCAGATGGGGCAGGTGGGTGGGATGAGGTACCCATGAATTCAAGTTTCAACAAGTTGCTCCTGCACTGTGTGCAGGTGATGGTGGTGCCAGTTGTGATGGCGCCAACCTCTCTGAGCTGCACAGACAAGGGCCCATGGCAGGTCAAGCAATACTGTTTGGCATATGCCCACTCTGCAATGCGCAAAAGCAGGGCTCTGCTGATGATGGTGTTGGCCCAACCCATGGTCATGGGAGCAACCAAAGGCAGGGGCTTCAGTGCTGGCACACGTTCAAGGTGTGAAGTGAGTTGTTCAGTCTGTGACTCATGAGAGAAAATGATGGTGGAGCGGTGAATAGGAGTAATATTGGAATAGAACAAATGTGTTCAAAGAGTGTCCATACCAAGAACTCATGGCCACAGGAGTCTGGACAGTGATGGACAAGAGTGGCCAGCAGGGACAGGGTCAAAAAAGTGGTACCTAAAGGTAGAGGGCAGGTGGTTGGCCAAGGAATTCACATGAGAAGAGGGAGGGAGGGAGGGAGATTGGCACAAGCAAAGCAAGAGAGACAGATAGCAAAAAGGATGAGACATACCCATCCACTTGTGCTTGTCTTGCTGACCTTGCACCTCTTGGACTGCCCTTTCCATGTCATCACCATTGGCAAAGCACCAGGACACCAAAACAGATGCTGGCATCAACTGCGCCATCAGAATGGGAGTCATGGTGCTTGCGCTGACTCTGATGGCTGCTGTGGTGGTTGAAAAGCACAGAAGGATTGTGGTGCCACAGCATTGCCATTGGAGGTACACCAAAGAGAGTGCCTGCAACTTGGACTGCTCATACTGCTTGTGCAATGTTGAAGTGGAAAGTACAGCACCTGCTTCTCTGCTTCAAGCATCTTGTGCAAGCACTGCATGGCCCCAGCCATCACCATCACAGAGCAGCAGTGAGCACAACAGAAAGATGTATTTTCTTCTCTGCCATGAGACAGGTAAAATAAACCAACAGACATAGCAGGAAGGATGGTGCTGAGGGAAATCATAGAAGATGAGCGTGGGCCAGAAATCCCAGGTACCTCAAATTAGCATGCCCTCAATTCCCATTGGTGGCACATTGATTGTGGCGCACACATGTTGTTGCTGTGGCTTGCCTGCCATCCATGGCATTGGCCATCTTGTGCAGAATGTGCATTGAAGGTACCACAGTCTGATGGTCCAATCACTGGCCCACCACCTAAAGCCTGAAACAGGTGATCCCATAATGGTGGAATCAACTGGACAGTGCAGGTAATACTAGAGCACCACACCACCTTGTCTGGTGGGTGGGTAGTGGCTGGTGCGGTGTCCTGCTGCTTCTAGTTCCTAGAAGCAGCAGGACACTGCACCAGCCAGGAAGAAGAGTATTTTTGTTTTGGTTGTCTGAAGAACTACTTATGTGGAGACCTCAGTACCATGAGGCACATGCCCTGTGCTGCAGGTGCTCACCCTCTACAAAGATTCTTCATGTGGCACATTTTACTTGAGGCATTTGCATCTTCACATGAGCTGTGAAAGGTACAAAAGATAAAATAGAAGGCAAGGTTGTTTATTCCAGGCGCATGAAGAGATGTGTGAATGATGGAAGGCACAACATGTGTTAAGCACTAGGGGGTGAGGAATGTTGATGTAGATCA